CTTGCAAGAAGCCACCAATTTCTATGGCCCAATCCACTAATTCTTATGCAATAAAAATGAACCTCCCCCCACCTTATTAATAAGTTTACTGCTGTTGTAGCCATTTCATTTATATCTCATGTATGAACTTTGCTATTTAAAATACAAACCTCCTCTTTGATACGGTCATTTGGAAAAGCCAAGTCTAAAACCTGAAAACTGGGTGTCGCAGTTGTTTTCACGTGAGTAGACATCAAAACCAAGGGAGCATAATCTCACTATGAACTTACAGTAATAATGCAGTACGAAAAGAAAAAAGTTGGCATCACCTTATATTTTCAGCAAGATAAAGAACTATATTATTCCATGAATCATTTTTTAATATCATTTAGATAAAAACTTGTTCTCTTTGAGGAAAACTAACAGTCCAGCATCTGGACCACAAAAAGGGACAGAGATGGCCTTTAAGACTGTGTCAGACAATACAGATAATAGGATCATTGATGGGATCATTGACCTGCCGGGCCACTGAAATAAAATGAAAAAAATCACAAAAGCTGAAAAATCTATTCTAAATATTTGCTTTTTCCCAATCTGCTTGAAGATGAGCATTTTAAATTCATGCCAAGATAATAAATCACTTCACATAAGCTCATTGTTTTCCCAAGTGAAAAACAGTTCATAGGGAAATTCCGTTTTATTGAAAGACAATTGATATTTATGCCATTTGCAAAACCAGTTTTTATTCCAGGTCTGCTCCTTCAAGCTTTAATTTTATTTACTGCAGCTAGGACTCTGAAAGAGTTCTTCTTTGGTATTCATTTTCATAATCTCTTATAAGAGTAAGAAATGTTCAAGTAATGTCCAAAATTAGACTAAAGGAAGCTGGGGATTAATTGGGAAGAAGAATCCAAATCTTTTCCCTACTTAACGTGAGAAGCAGCCATGTATTATCTGATGGAACACTTGGATTCAGGAGCACATCTAGCACATGCCTGGTCATAAGCACATGCCATCATCTCATTGTTTTTTCAAAATTTAAACCTAAAGCTGCAGGATTTTGATTAATAACATTGGAATTAGCCACAGGGTGGTAAATTCATTGCCGTTAGAGCCTGGTCGGTGATATTCACCTGAGAAACCAATCACTCGGCCAACGAACCTCGCACCGTATTCTAGCAAGGGTGTTCACACACTGATATGATTTTCATAAGCAAAATGCAGGTAGCTCCATAAATCAGCGTAGAAGTCCTAACGTCATGTGGCAGGCTGCCGAGCTTTGTGGCACTACGCTGGACATCGAGTAGAAGAGATCTGGGACGTGATCCTCTATTAATATAAACTGTCATTACTGCATTGACTACATCAGCTGAGAGCGTGGCTAGATACCAAAAGCATTCCGAAGAGCTCTTTTTTGTGGATGTGTTTGTTGATCTAAACATGATCCTGCAAGAATTAGAACGTTTCAGCTTTGGGTCGTGGATGTACTGAAGAGTTTTTTAGTGGTTAACGCTATGAAATGTGCCCATACTCACCTACATTTCCCATTTCAAATGCTGGGATCATTCTCTGACTGGTGTTTTTTAGGGTTATTTTGGATTGTTTTGAAGAAATTCTACACAGAAAAAAGATCAGGATAGACACCTCTCATAATTCCACTCCACAGTATTATGCTGAAGAGACACGGGCTTTCTCTGTTCAGTTCAGAGACAGTTCAATTTATTTAATTAGCTGTTCTCCCAGTTTACTCGACTGTAACGCCGCGTGTGTGAATTTTCACACCAGACTACACTTGAACTTCGTAGGTCAGATATGATTTTTAATTATGTTACAGCTAAACGACTGGAGTTCAGAGCCTCTTTTAGGGGGATTACAGTCTGCTTCTAAGGCTGGGAACAGATGTAACTTTAGGAATGAACCGCACTGCACACTGACTCGCGTCCCTTCTGATCCAGTGAGTTCAATGGGACCGTTAGGGTCAGTAGTTAAAGCAAAATTTGGCCTACCATTTCGGCTCTTTCGGTACAACTTTCTTTTGTGTCCTCTACATAATTAATTGCCAGACCTCAGAGAAAATGTTGTCCCATTCACTGTAAAATAGGAGGGTCCACGGAGGAAAATAGTTGCGTTAGAGAAACACACAAACGACATTAAGGCTACCTGGTTTGATGTTTTCAAACCTTTTTCTTTTCCTCTGCAAACAATGACAGTTTCAATAGGATCTGAAGCGATACTCTTTACAAATAATACACTAGTCTGTCATATGGTTAATATTAACGTCTCTCTATTCAAACATGCTGAAAACTGAATAGAACAGTTAACATATAACAGTCACACATCCTTTGCTGAGTACAAGATCGCATCTCTAACATGAACTGAAGATACCCTCACCATTTCAGATCTTCATCTGTCATTCAGTCAAACATTTCATTCTCTTAAATACATCGCTCCTCCCCTCTTTCTGGGTCTTTCGGGGGTGCTGAGTGAACACATTCTCTCCATAAAGGCATTGCTTATGATATGGTTCTTTCTTCAACAGGAATCTTGCCGTGTGTTTCCAATACGTTGCCAAAGGTGAATTTGCAGTTTGGTAGGATTTGGGGGCAAGGCGGCCTTACATCTGGATTGAAAAGATTTAATTTTGAAACATCTATTTGGGCAGGATTCTGCACTTTCTTCCAGAGAGACCATCTCTTGATGAAATTAATGGTGAGCAATTAATTAATTGTGACCACACTTCTCAAATTATTGAATCAGAGCTTTATATAGTAGCCATTTTTTTATATTACAGATATGTTCACAAGGCTTACGGGCAGGCACAAGCTCACTTTGCTCTTGCCCTGAGCTGGCGGGATGTAAACGGTGTCGACAGAGAAGTCACACGACTGTAGGGATGCGAAGCTGAGCCCCGCCTAATACACCTCGTCTTTCAGAGGGCTGGTTTGGTGTGGGCTTGGGGCCGTACCCACCGCCGTCAGCTCAGCTCACGTGCAGTGAGATTGTGCCCAGCCACAACATACTGCAGAAACACGTCAGGGTGAGCCCACTCCTCACGGTGACCGCACCTTACTGCTACAACAAAAGCTCTGTGTCTTTGAAGAAGGGAGTCCGAACGAGGCATGCTCCATCCTGGGGCATAAAGCATAGTTTGCCCTCAAATATATTTTTATTGAAAACACACAGCAAAGATTACAGCCATAGAAAGTTCTGTAAACAAGACAATTTCATCATCTTAAAAAAAAAATGCAGAACCGCAAAAGAAACCCAAAATAAGACTTGCTGAATGAAGACTGTGAATAGTAATTTTTTTTCCTGCCTTAACAAAAAAAAAATGACATACACCTTCAGCGTTTCTTTTCCAAATTTACTTGACAGAGGTTAAAATATTGCTTTATTCTGACTCAACATACAACAGCACTGCGTGATCGATCGTGCTATTTTGGGAAGTCTTGAGACTTGTGAACTGGAAAGTCTGGGGCACATTAATAAATCTAACAATTAATTTGCTGCAAAGGAATATTTTAATACATTCTGTATATACTGTAAATTTTTTTTTTTAATCAATCTTCTCACATTAACCAGGGAAGGCTATTTAGCAATTATTTATTATAGTTCATTTTCTTTTTCCCCACGAATAAGCAGATATTTTAATACCAATAAAAACAGTAATGTTGTGTCACTGAACCCAATTCACTGCATTATTGGCATATTGCGTTACAATTTATGGGGGGAAGAGGGCCTCAAAAAAAAGCAAATGCAAAAAATGCTTAAAATGTGGTTGGGATACAGCAACCAGGAAATGACATTTCTTCTCTAAGGCCTTGATCCCTTGCAGGGAGTCATTTGGTGGAAACCATCTGCTCTTACATAGCCCCATTAGAAACAGATCTGTGCATGCTTGTGGGTCTGCCCATACTGAGCCATCTGCAGGGTCGAAGCTTTAAAGTTCACAAGCCTAAGCCACGATTAATTAAAGTGACCGGAGAACTGAAGGTGGGAACAAAGTAGGGCAGCGTGGACACTTATCGGCTGGATTTTGATCATATTGGATCTCCCTGACTCTTCTCTGAACAACCCATAATAAAAAATAAGTTTAAAAAAATACACACACACTCAGAAGTGCTCCTTGAGAGCTCACAAATGCCTTCAAAGTATAGTTTAGAAATGTTGAGGGGTCGGTAACGAACAACAGAGTTTATGTTCCCACTCAAAAAAACCCAAACCAAAAACCAAGACCAAACCTGTCGTAATACACACTTTTGCACTTTCTCTTGGTCTTCCTCACTCTCCACCAAGGCAGCTCTGATAGGCAAAGCTCAGAAGATGGAGCAGCCACGGGCTCCTGACCACTGCTTCTCTGCAGACCCCAATCCCACTCCACGCTTGGCCAAACCCAAAGCTCCTAAATGTCTCCATTGACTTTCTCGGGCCGACTGACACATTAAAGCAAGGTCGAGAATTAAGCATCTGGCTCAATTTAGGGATTTATTGTCATTCGCAGTAGGCACCAGACCTCAGAAGTAGACGTCTGCGTGCCTGTTTCCACAGTATGAACCTGGAACCAAGAGAAGAGGGGGAGAGGGGACCGTGTCCGTGCTGGGCTGAGGGGACTTGTTCCCCAGGGTCTGAATCCCTGGCCAGCAGCTCACTGCAGCGCTGCCCTGAAACCAGAAACGAATCTAAGAATGGTCTTGGCCTTTGCTGAAAACAAGATGCATAGCCTAAGCCTTCGGACAGCCGAACGGGACCGTGGTACAATGCTCTGTAACTGCAACTGTATGTGTAATCCTGCCTAGAAAGCACCTGATGTACGCGCCATCCCTCCTGGAACTTTTCCCTTAAAAAAATATTTTGTTAAAAAACACTATGATATGAGGGCGATTGACTATTTGGTTTCTTCTAAGTAGATGCTCTTAAATTAATGCATATAAATAATTTGTATTTAATCTCCTCCCTTCCTGTTTAGCAAAGCATCGAATGCACAGATCTCTTGTTTCCCCTCCCACAACCCCCACACAAAGTCACTTGGTCAATACCGAGTCTCTTTGCGTTTCGCTTTTTAAGACAAATTGTGCCTCTCGCTCTGACTTGGCCATGGGGCTCATGGGCAGAAAGGCCGTGTTTTCGCTCGCGCTGCTCTCTGCTTCTACGCTCGCCAGTTCATAGTCCTCCGACCTCCTCGCGTCCGTCAGAATCCGAATCTGCTCCTGCACAGTTTCTAGCAATATTTTCACTTCGTGTTGTTCTGCTATAAGACAATTACTGACTGGGGAACTCACATTGACAAGTTCAGCTGAATAGGAGTTTTTGCACCATTTGATGCCTGTTACTTCAGAAACGTTTTGCATTTGCATGCAGGCTTCGTCCAAGCCCACAGACGGGATGATGGGAACGGAGTTGGCCCTTGAAGATGAATAGCCGACCAAGTCCTTCTGATCCACGTTATTAAAATAAGGGGTTGTCTCTCTTGAAGGCAGTTGCATATTTATTGAAGTATTCCGAGGAGTTTTTAAACCACTGGATGAATACCTGGAAAGAGTAAAAAGAAGTTTTTGTTGAACATCAAGCGGTCAGATGCAACCGGCAGCAGGAACGCGGTATGAAATTCAGTGAACTGTGCTGAAAAGATACATGTCATTTTTCTCTCACGCTAGGAGCGCTTGGTAATAGTGTGGCCCTGGGGAAAACAACAGACTCTGGTTTTGATTCTCAGATCTGCCGGTGGCAAACCACTGCTTTTCTCTCGGCCTCATTTTGCCCACCAGTATATGAGAATAACAACAATTCCTTTTAAAAAGCTTTCGGGAGTTATACTGTATGACAATTAATTTTGTTTGAAATTAAATTTGAAATTCCACTCCTACGTTCCTAACTGGGGAAGTGGATTGATGCTTTCTTCAACATCAGAACTCTCAATGTCAAATGGCTATTTTAGGAAAACACTTTAAAAAGGTTGGCCTGATTCGTTTTCTTAGATCTCATCTGGAAATAGAGCTAATACATTGTGCTCGAGTGCTTCAAAAAAAATCCTTTATCCTCCATTAATATGTATCATAGGATGATTTTATTTATTGTGAGGCATTTCTTAGATCATCTGGAAATAGAGCTAATACATTGTGCTCGAGTGCTTCAAAAAAAATCCTTTATCCTCTCCTAATATGTATCATAGGATGATTTTATTTATTGTGAGGCAACTTTGGTGAATTTTTATCAACATTTCCATTTTGTTTCAAAGTCAAATTCATTATTCTGATCAGAAAGTGTTTTCGCTTGCAGGAAATACTTAAAAAACAGAAAAGGAAAGTATACTAAATACAAAATAAAGGAAACAATGACAAAAACCCCCACGTTTCCCATCTGAGAAGTAGTTTTACTAGAAATCTGGTGCTCTAAGAGTTACTGTATCTACTAGTCATGATTGCCAAGGACCATAGACATCACCTCAGTACAGGAACATATTTTATTTATAATCGGCTTTGTGATCGTATCACTATTTAATAAGGCAAGCTAATGGTGAAGTCTAGTGTGTTTTATCCATGGGCGAGGAAAGCAACATTTAGATCTGGTGTGGCAGCAGGTGCTTTGAGCTCTGACTTGAAGGCTATTTTTCTGAAGGCTGCTTAAGCCTGCTGGACTTCGCTAGGGATAGCCTGGTACTCATACGTGCCTCGCTGCTTTTGGCATCAGCAGAAAAGAGAACTAAGGAAAAGAAAGTGAAATGCGTGAAACAGCCATAGTTCAATATTAGCGTACAACACTAATTAACTGGAAAAGCTTCCGTTGGCCCCATCCTCCTGGCGAGCTGTCAGACAGGAGAGAGAGGAGGAGGTATCTCTAGGCTCATTTCCAGCAGAGCGCTGCTGACTTATAATTAACTTGTCTATGGTGGCACGGTGTTTGTACAACTGCTTGACACATTAACCTGTACACGAGCACAGCCCCTGTACAAAAACTCTCCAGGCATCCCCAAAAGACCAGAAAACGCAGCTGGGAGCTCTGCGATAAGGAGGTGTTGTGATCTTTGCTGCTATCTGATGGAAAGAGATACTGCTTTGGGAAGCGGGACCCAGGGGAATAATATAGCAAGCGGCTTTTTTGGATATGTGATAGAACTTCTTGTACATGCTATACAGCTGCATTTATGTTTTACGTCTGAGACATCTGAGAGTCAGCTTTTGGTTAACTGCATTTGCGCTATGCTTAGACACGCTTGTAGCCACTGATGGAGGGCCTTTTTAGAACAGTTTTCAAGAACCAGTATGAATGAGATACTGATCAAGGATATTATTCCCGAGGGAGGACAATTAAAAAAAAAAAAAAAAAAAAAAAACAAAAAAGGGCAGAACCTTGGGTTGTG